TGTCTGCTTGGGCAGGCTGGCGGCGGCGCTCACCAAGATTCCGACAGGCGGGATCCTGTTGCGACGGGCGGCATGTCTGCTTGCTCTCGCTGACGGCGGCGGTCACCAGGATTCCGACAGGCGGGATCTTGTTGCGACGGGCGGCATGCCTGCTTGCTCTCGTTGGCGGCGGCGCTCGCCAGGATTCCGACAGGCGGGATCCTGTTGCGACAGGCGGCATGTTTGCTTGCTCAGGCTGGCGGCGGCGCTCACCAGGATTCCGACAGGCGGGATCCTGTTGCGACAGGCGGCATGTCTGCTTGGGCAGGCTGGCGGCGGCGCTCACCAAGATTCCGACAGGCGGGATCCTGTTGCGACGGGCGGCATGCCTGCTTGCTCTCGTTGGCGGCGGCGCTCGCCAGGATTCCGACAGGCGGGATCCTGTTGCGACAGGCGGCATGTCTGCTTGCGCAGGTTGGCGGCGGCGCTCGCCAGGATTCCGACAGGTGGGATCCTGTTGCGACGGGCGGCATGTCTGCTTGCTCTCGTTGGCGGCGGCGCTCACCAGGATTCCGACAGGCGGGATCCTGTTGCGACAGGCGGCATGTCTGCTTGGGCAGGCTGGCGGCGGCGCTCACCAAGATTCCGACAGGCGGGATCCTGTTGCGACGGGCGGCATGCCTGCTTGCTTTCGCTGACGGCGGCGCTCGCCAGGATTCCGACAGGCGGGATCCTGTTGCGACAGGCGGCATGTCTGCTTGCTCTCGCTGGCGGCGGCGCTCACCAAGATTCCGACAGGCGGGATCCTGTTGCGACAGGCGGCATGTCTGCTTGGGCAGGCTGGCGGCGGCGCTCGCCAGGATTCCGACAGGCGGGATCGTGTTGCGACAGGCGGCATGTCTGCTTGCGCGGGTTGGCGGCGGCGCTCACCTGGATTCCGACAGGCGGGATCGTGTTGCGACAGGCGGCATGTCTGCTTGCGCGGGTTGGCGGCGGCGCTCACCAGGATTCCGACAGGCGGGATCCTGTTGCGACAGGCGGCATGTCTGCTTGCGCAGGTTGGCGGCGGCGCTCACCAGGATTCCGACAGGCGGGATCCTGTTGCGACAGGCGGCATGTCTGCTTGCGCGGGTTGGCGGCGGCGCTCGCCAGGATTCCGACAGGCGGGATCGTGTTGCGACAGGCGGCATGTCTGCTTGCTCTCGCTGGCGGCGGCGCTCACCAGGATTCTGACAGGCGGGATCCTGTTGCGACAAGCGGCATGTCTCCTTGCGCAGATTGGCGGCGGCGCTCACCAGGATTCCGACAGGCGGGATCCTGTTGCGACGGGCGGCATGCCTGCTTGCTCTCGCTGGCGGCGGCGCTCACCAGGATTCCGACAGGCGGGATCCTGTTGCGACAGGCGGCATGTCTGCTTGCTCTCGCTGACGGCGGCGGTCACCAGGATTCCGACAGGCGGGATCCTGTTGCGACGGGCGGCATGCCTGCTTGCTCTCGTTGGCGGCGGCGCTCGCCAGGATTCCGACAGGCGGGATCCTGTTGCGACAGGCGGCATGTCTGCTTGCGCAGGTTGGCGGCGGCGCTCGCCAGGATTCCGACAGGTGGGATCCTGTTGCGACGGGCGGCATGTCTGCTTGCTCTCGTTGGCGGCGGCGCTCACCAGGATTCCGACAGGCGGGATCCTGTTGCGACAGGCGGCATGTCTGCTTGGGCAGGCTGGCGGCGGCGCTCACCAAGATTCCGACAGGCGGGATCCTGTTGCGACGGGCGGCATGTCTGCTTGCTCTCGCTGACGGCGGCGGTCACCAGGATTCCGACAGGCGGGATCTTGTTGCGACGGGCGGCATGCCTGCTTGCTCTCGTTGGCGGCGGCGCTCGCCAGGATTCCGACAGGCGGGATCCTGTTGCGACAGGCGGCATGTTTGCTTGCTCAGGCTGGCGGCGGCGCTCACCAGGATTCCGACAGGCGGGATCCTGTTGCGACAGGCGGCATGTCTGCTTGGGCAGGCTGGCGGCGGCGCTCACCAAGATTCCGACAGGCGGGATCCTGTTGCGACGGGCGGCATGCCTGCTTGCTCTCGTTGGCGGCGGCGCTCGCCAGGATTCCGACAGGCGGGATCCTGTTGCGACAGGCGGCATGTCTGCTTGCGCAGGTTGGCGGCGGCGCTCGCCAGGATTCCGACAGGTGGGATCCTGTTGCGACGGGCGGCATGTCTGCTTGCTCTCGTTGGCGGCGGCGCTCACCAGGATTCCGACAGGCGGGATCCTGTTGCGACAGGCGGCATGTCTGCTTGGGCAGGCTGGCGGCGGCGCTCACCAAGATTCCGACAGGCGGGATCCTGTTGCGACGGGCGGCATGTCTGCTTGCTCTCGTTGGCGGCGGCGGTCACCAGGATTCCGACAGGCGGGATCTTGTTGCGACAGGCGGCATGTCTGCTTGCTCAGGTTGGCGGCGGCGCTCACCAGGATTCCGACAGGCGGGATCCTGTTGCGACGGGCGGCATGTTTGCTTGCTCAGGCTGGCGGCGGCGCTCACCAGGATTCCGACAGGCGGGATCCTGTTGCGACGGGCGGCATGTCTGCTTGCTCTCGCTGACGGCGGCGGTCACCAGGATTCCGACAGGCGGGATCCTGTTGCGACGGGCGGCATGCCTGCTTGCTCTCGTTGGCGGCGGCGCTCGCCAGGATTCCGACAGGCGGGATCCTGTTGCGACAGGCGGCATGTCTGTTTGTTTAGGTTGGCGGCGGCGCTCACCAGGATTCCGACAGGCGGGATCCTGTTGCGACAGGCGGCATGTCTGCTACCGCATGCTGGCGGCGGCGCTCGCCAGGATTCCGACAAGCGGGATCCTGTTGCGACAAGCGGTATGTCTGCTTGCGCAGGCTGGCGGCGGCGCTCACCACGATTCCGACAGGCGGGATCCTGTTCCGACAAGCGGCATGTCTGCTTGCTCTCGCTGGCGGCGGCACTCGCCAGGATTCCGACAGGCGGGCTGGGTCGGCAAGGGCGCAGGCAGCCATGCAGGCGGCGGGCGGGCAGGGTCACCCATGATACCGGCAGAATGGGCATCGCACCACGGCAATTGCATGGTCTGGCGCGCACCCTAAACCCTCCCGCCGGGGCAAGCAGCGCAAGCGGCGCAGCCAGCGGCCGGCTCAGGAGCCGTCGCGTTGCACCCGCCGCTGATGCTGCCTGCTACCACCGCTGCCGCCGCCGCTGCCTGCCCTGCCACGCTATCCCACCTTGTACGGCGCGAATGATGAACAGGAGGCGCGCCACCAGCTGCACGGCCGCCAGGATGGAGTACATGGTGGAGGCGCCTGCGGTACAGGTATGGGGGGTGCGGTACAGGTGTGTTCGTGTGTGTGCGGGTGAGGGCAGGGTGCCACGTGGTGGAGGGTGTGGGGAGGATGGCAGGCCCTACGGCAGGGAGGACGGGGAAGCTGGGCGGGCACTGCGGCGCCGGCTCGGGCCGAGGCCGGGTGCATGCGCGGGCGGCAGCGCGAACGACAGCGTAGCGCTCCGAGGCGGGCGGGTATCTGGCTGGGGGTGCTGCGGCCGGGGCGGAACGGCGCGGCGGCATGTGCAGACAGGGTGGGAGGAGGGTGGGCGGGCAGGCAGGGAAGCAGAGCGGTGTGGGGAGGGCGGGAGGTGAGGAAGGAGAAGGCGGCAGCGAGCGGCCGTGTCCTGCCTGCGACCGGCGCGGGGGGGGCGGAGCACAGCTGGCCGGGGCGGCACAGGCTGGCTCGCCCCTGCTGCCTCGCCGCCGCCGTGAATGGGGCGGGGGCGGCCATACGCTTGGAGTGCCATCATGCTGGCCTCTGGGAGCCTGGGGAGGGTTCAAGGCTTGGGGAGCTCGGATTGGCGGACCGAAGGTGTCTGTGCTCGCTGTCCAAGGCCTGTTCAAGGCCGTCGGCCGGTGGAAGAAAGTGTGGCGGACATGCCGCTCAAGCTGGCTCAGCTGCAGCTGCTAGCAAGCGACCCAATTCGCCTCTCTGCACGGAATCATTCCGCATGATGCCGGCGAGTGCGGCCGCAGGCTGGGCCCGGCGTCAAACTCGCACCACATCTGCTTGCCGCGCCGCCGCGCCGCCGCCAGCGTGCGCCCCGCCAGCGCCTGCCCCAGCTCCTGGCGGATCCTCCAATCAGAGCCAGCATGCAGCCTGTCGCAACAGGATCCCGTCCCGCTGTGGCGGCATCATGATAACACGGCGGTACGCACTAGAGTGACACAGTAGCATGTGGTATTACCACAAGAGGCAAAATGTACAATTGTACCTCCCATGCACACATCACCCCTGTCGCATGCGCCGCCACATCACCCCTATCCCGCCCTGCTCAAGCGCCTACTCCTGCAGAGGAGGTGAAGACACATGGCCAGCTGGGAACAAATGTGAAGCAGATGGCGGCACGGCAGCGGTGGCCTGTGCCAAGGGAGCCAGCGGCGCCAGTCTGATGCCAGGCTGTCATAGGTTGTGCCAACAGCATACCTCCGCCTCCGCCAGCTTCTCCTCGTCCTCTGGCAGCCCCGCCACGTCTGCTGCAAAGGCCGCCTCGTCCAGGGCCAGCAGGGTGTCGTGGATCACCTCCTTACTGCAGCATTAAGAAAGGCGCAGGAGCGCTAACAGGCCAACAGGATCCCGTGCCAGCTGGCGCTGCAGCGCCAGCCTCCTGGACTACGGACGCTAATTAGCCATGCATCCACAGGTAGGCTAGCGAACCAGAGCTTCCAATCCTGGGCGCACCTGAGCTTTTCCCATTGCCCGTGGGCAGCAGCGGGGTCCTTGCCCACCCACACCTCGATGCTCAGGTCCTCGTCGGGGTCAGCAGGCTGCAGGGCACGCAGCACCCTCTGCAGAGTATGATAGGAGCTGGTCACACCAGCCATGAATCGAGGGGCAGGCGAGCACAGCAGCGTGTTCATCTCAGTATCCGAGGGCAGCTTGCTGACAGCTGTTGCCAGCCTGCTGCCCTCCGCCGTGCCCCGCAGGAACTGGTCCAGCATCAGCCTGCAGAAAAGATTCAGCGGCAGGAGTGGCAATGCGGTGCTGCGTGTAACAACAAACAGATCGGAGGCAGGAGTAGCAACGTGCCTGCAGTATGGCTCTGCTGCCAAAGCGGCCTTGCACTCCTCCTCTGTGCCCTGCCCCTGTGCAGCAGCCACAGCATTGGCTGATCGAGCAGCGAAATCGGCAATGCTGATGCCCGAGCGTTGCGCCGAGGCCTCCAGCGCTGTGCGCAGCTCCTGGCGAAGGGTTGGCGGCTGCGCAGGCGGGGCAGCGGCAGCGCCTCCCTGGCCACCAGCAATCTCCCAAAGGTGGTGGTAAGAAAGAATCAAAGAGGCTGGAGTGGTCACGCGAGCCAAGCTGCACAGCAGGCACACCATCGAGATGTGTCTCATTCACTGCATGCCAAGTGACCCCAACAGCATGCTTTGGCAGTCACAGCACTTAGCGCGGCGCTAGCGCTGCAGCGGCCCCCCAGCCTGGTTGCTTGCCTGCCCACAGCCGCCCAGCTAGGTGTGTCTGGGAAGGTGGTTCCCAGCTGGAAGTACACTGCAGCCTCATCTGCACCAGGAGGTTTCAAGCTGCAGTAACTCCACACCTCTCAAACAGGCCTGGAGGCTGGCACATGGCCCAGAAGCTCAGTACCTGAAAGCTCAGGGGCGGTGCCAGTCATGCGTACGTTGTACAGCGCATAAGCGAGGTGGCAGGCCATCATCGCAGAGCGCTGCAGCAGCAACAAAGTGCTCAAAGTGGATCTGATTGAATCCCGGTCCCTCATGAATCTGCATGGATGTGGGCAGTTTTGGCTGGCAGCGGCAGCCAATATGCGTGCAGCCGCTGCGTTTGCCAAAACATCCTCACGAGGTGAAGGCCTTGGGGTACTTGAAGGCAGCTTGAGGGGCGAGTCCCATCTGCAGGCGTGTGTGTGCAGGGGTGGGGCATATCGGTAACGCACGAAGTGTAAAGCAGCTGCTGACAGACTCACACGCACGTACCGATCAGATCACCTAATGCATTCACCCCAGCTTAGCTGATGTTCACCTGCTGGAACATATCGCTCCGCTTGGTCACACGGTTGTGAAACCTGTGCCCGCCGCGCTTGCACTGCAGTAGAAGAACATGGACAGCGACGTTGTCGCCAACTTGTACAAGTGCGTGTGAGTGGTGTTCAGGGAATGCCGTGCCATGGGGCACCGCTGCATCTACCGCCCGGGAACCCACCGCCACAGCATCCACGTTCGGCTGCTTCGTGGCCGGCAGGACCACGGCCTGGACAAAGTCCAGCAGCTGCACCAGGGACTGCACAGCAGCAGTCACTGCGACTGCATGCAGCGCCGTCAGTGCAGCTAGTGTGACCACCGCTTCCAGGCACGGCTGTAAGGAGATGCAGAAGCAGTTTACCACTACATGGTCTGGGCTGAAACGCACCCCAGGCTCTGGAGCGGGCTCCTCGTCGCCATTGCGTTCCACAGCATCAGCCGCACCAGGCACCTCCTCGGCCACGCCGCCGCCCTGCAGGCACAGACCAACAAGGCATGCTTGCAAGTGATGGCTTTGCATCATCACAAGAAGGCGACACTGCTCATGCAGCCAACGGCAGCCCACCCAATCCCGTCTCTCACCTGATGGTCTCGTGCCTCCTCCACTTCCTGCGCCAGCTCATCACCATCCTGGTCAGCATCCGCCCATTGTGCGTGCTGGTGTGCCTGTTGAATGGCAGCGGGAGAGAGGCTGAGCTCCACAGTGGCACAAGAAGCGTGAAACAAGCGCAAGTGCAGGGCAGGGGCACGGCACAGTGTGGCTGAGCAGCCTGATGCTGCCCACCTCCGCCCCCCCGCTGGATGGCGCCTGAAAGGCACGACCGTTCGGCAGCGCATGCCGCCACTGTAACATTGAGGAGACGAGCCGGCACGTTGGCAGGCAGGACAGTCAGCGTACCGCACTAACTCAAAACGAATGCCACCTGGCGCTCCGCTCACCTCTGCCGCCTCCTCAGCTCCGAGCAGCTCCAGCACGGATGGCGATGCATCTGGCATGTCAGCATCACCCTGCAAGCAGCAGGCACGGCAGACACGTGGGGTGAAGGTGGGGCAGAGCTGCTGGGCAGCACAGCGCAGTGCACGTGCCTACAGGCAGGTCTCACTCCGCTGCCGCCTGCCGCTCTGCTGCTGCTGAGAGGGCGGCCGCCCGGCGGGCCTCTGCTGGAGGCGCTTGCTGCTTTTTCTGAACAGCCGCAACTCATGCCGCCTGCCACTCTCACCTTGGGTGCCTCCTGAACTCCCCCATCCGCCAGCAAATCCAGGCTGGGTGGAAGGTGCTCGCCCTCCTGCAAACAGCAAAGCTGAGCAGCCAGGTGAGACGGCGGGGCGGAAGTCCACACTCCAAGGAGCGATTGGGAGAAGCACAGGTGCAGGCGCAGAACGGGGAGAGAGTGCTCCTGGTCTTCCCGAGGGAGGTCAAGCTGGCAGCGATGCCCACCTTCATCTCTGCGCTGCCTGGCGCCTTGTAGCCGTCGTCCACAGTGCCACCCTCCTGCACCGCAGGCGAAGGAGGCACCAGCTATGTGGTGGGTGCGCAGCGGTTCTGTTTCAGCGCAGATGCTGCCAGGAGCAACCAACCGCCCCTCCACACTTCAACCCACCTGGTGGCCATGGCTGTCGGCGCCGCCAGCGTGCTCCTGCCCTACCTCCTCTTCCCCCTCCGCCTGGGGTGCCTCTGCAGGTTCTGCTGCACCTGCTGCCACTGGCGCTGCTGCGCCTGCTGCCGCGCCTGCTTCTGCGGCATCGGCAGCCGCCTGCGCCGCTGCCGGGCTGTCCAGGCGCTGCTCGGCGGCTTCTGCCGCGGTGGGTGCCGGCACAGCAGGTGCAGGTTCTGCCAGGATGTTGGCGGCGCCCGGCTCCGCCGCCGGAGGCAGGCTGGCTGCCGCAGCCACGGACCGCAGCGCCAGCCTGGTGGCACCTGCCTCGGGCGCGCCGCTGCCGGCCTTGGCCATCGCCTGCATGCATTTGCCGCTACTGTAACCTTGAGGAGACGAGCGGGCACGCTGGCAGGCAGGACAGCCAGCGTACCGCACTCACTCAAAACAAACGCCACCTGGCGTTCCGCTCACCTCTGCCGCCTCAGCTCCGAGCAGCTCCAGCACGGATGGCGATTGCGATGGCAGGCCGGCATCAGCCTGCAACTAGCAGGCATGGCAGACACGTGCGATGAAGGTGGGGCAGAGCTGCTGGGCAGGCAGGCACAGTGAGGGTCTCGCTCCGCCGCCGCCTGCCGCTCTACTGCCGCTCTGCGGCTGCTGACAGGGCGGCCGCCCGGCAGGCCTCTGCTTCCGGCGGCTGCTGCTTCTCTGGAGAGTCGCAGCGCATGCCACCTGGCACTCACCTCGGGCGCCTCGTCCCCACCCTCAGTGCCCACCCCGAGCGGAGAATCATCATCTTCCTGAAGGCGGCAGGCCACAGCAGCCAAGTGAGATGAGCAGGAGAGGAACCGGCTCCTCTGCTGGTGCATTGATCCACGGCACGCGTGGAGGCAGCCAGGTGGGTGCACTGCTGGTGCACCTCCTCCTGCACGGCGGGGTCGGTGGCAGGCTCCCACGCCAGCAGGCCGCCGCGCTCATCTGCTGCCGCTACCTGCATGCGTCCAGGAACAGGTTGCCGGCTGCTGGCAGCCACACAACCAGCAGGCAGGTTGCCGCCATCTGTCCAAACAGGAGGAGCTGCGGCGCACCTCTGCTCCGCGGTGGAAGTGCAGCAGCGTCGCCGCAGCGGCCTCCGCCGCAGCCGCTGACGAGGGCGGGCCGACCGGCTCCACATCCGCGCCGCCTCCCTGCAGACACTGTGCAGGCAGTCGCATGAGGCTTGCATGTGATGGGCTTGCGGAACAGTGCAGTGGAGCAGCGGGGCGCCTGGTGGCAGAGCGACCGAACACAGCTTCAGGTACAGCCCAGGGATGCTGGCACTGAAGGGCACCAGATCCACCTGCCACTCCGCGTCTGCTTCGGCCCCTTCGCCTGCAATGGCCGCGCGGGCGCTGGCCACCAGCTCCGCCACCGCGCCGTTCTGGGCAGCCATGCCTCTGCAGGCAGGCGGGTGGGCGAGGCAGCTGGGCGTCGGAAGCACGAGTCGGCAGCGGCATGACTTGGAGGCAGCTGGCGGTCTGGCGGTGCTGGCTCTGGCCCGGCAGGGGCTGTTCTTACTGGAGGATGCCCAGGAAGGCCCTCAGGCCGTCGGCCGCCGTGGCCTCGCAAGCCGCATCTGCACAGATGGCATGCCGCAGCGTGGCCTGGCGGTGTGGTGATGCCAGCAGGCGGCAGCATTGCGCCTCACCTCCTCGCGGCACACACACGACAGTTGCCCCCAGCAGCGTGCGCACAAGCGGCATCAAGTCGGGCGTGCTGGCCAGGGAGCTGCCGGCAGCACGCAGCAAGTTGAGCATGCCGGAGCAGGCCTTCAGACCACGCTCCCTGCAAGCAGGCAGGCATGCTGGGTCAGGTCGCTGGCCGTGTGGCAATGGATTGAGGAAAGCACCGCCAGCAGCACAAGGTGCGCAGCCCCTGCAGTAGCCTCACCGCTCGCACCACTCGATCCTATTGATGAGCGGCGCCAAGGCCTGCAGCTGCAGTGCGCTGGCGGCCGCATCCCAGACTCCCATCTGCAAAGAGGACGGCGGATGACGCTCCCTGAGTGGGCAGCCATAATGGAAACGACTGCCTCAGCCGGCATTGCCTGCCATGAGCTGGCTACTGCCATGCTGCCTGAAGCAGAGGAAAGCAGCCCAAAAGCAAGCAGCCCAAAAGCAAGCCACGCATGCTTGCCTGGCGCCCCACAGCAGACAGCAGCTCGCTGGGGTAGAAAGCCCCAGCCAGGAAGGTGGCGCAATCGACCGCCGCCTCCAGCAGCTCGCCGTCGTGCAGTAAAAATGGCCGAGCGATACACTGTAAAGCAGCAGGGCGAGATCTTAGAAGGAGAGGGCCCATGCCGCTCAGCTGGACAGTCGCCGCCACACGGCGTGCAACTTGAGGTATGGGGGCAGCGGCCTGCAGAGCAGCCACTGCACCGCACCTTGGCAAATATGCCGCTCAGCGCGTGCGCCTCCTCGCCGCCGAGGTCCGACTGCAGGGCCCTGCGGAGCAGCTTGCTCAGCAGGGGCGGAAGGCGGCGCTGGCAGACGCGCGGGTGCACCGTCAACTCGTCCAGCACCTGCAAGATGGGAGCACCGGCGCCGGTTAGTTGGCGCGCATGGCAGCTTTGGGCCGTCCTTCTGCCATTACCACCGCTGGGTAACCCTGGCTGCTTGCTGGCATGGCGGATGAGCTCAAGAGGGCGGCTGCACGTCTGCGGCTCACATATTGCTGCGCCTCCAGGTTGGTCACCAGCGGCAGGTCTTGCAGCCATTGGTTCACGTCCAAAGGGCCGCCCGCTCCCTCGCCACCCTGGACATAGCTGTCCAGCACCTGCATGGCGGGCTGGTGGGTGGGTGGTGCGGGTGCAGGAGGGGATGGTTTGTGGAGGAGGGAGGGCAGGGGGCACAGCAGCGGCGCATCACTCGGCGCAGGCAGCGGTGCAGGCACAGGGCCCCTGCCGGTGGAGAGGAGTGCCCGCTCGTCTCCCAAGGCAGCAGCCCAGCCAGCAGGTGGGAGGCGGCGCCTCACCTGCCTCCACTTAATGGCGGCTCCCACGCCGCCCGCCACCTGCTGCACCACCACATGTATGTAGGTGCAGCAGGTGGCTGGCGGCTTGGGAGCCGACATTGAGTGGAGGAAGGTCAGCTGTTGTACAGCACCTACTATATAGCATCGCAAACCAGCTGAGCGGGAGGAGACTGCTGCGCATTAATACACAGACGCGGGCTCAGCCACCCCAGCGGTTGATGAGTGGACACCCACCCCCGCCCACCCGTCACCTGCCAGCCCGGCGTCTCCTCTGGCGCCTCCACCTCCTGCTCGGCGCTCGGGCGCTCGGCGGCGGCAGCAGCAGCCGTGCTGGCGTCCGCTCCCTGGTCTCCCTCTGCGCCCGCGCCTGCGGCATGCTCCTGCGCATCACTGCACGCCTGCAGAAAGGCAGTGAGAGGGAAGGGGACAGCAGCAGCCTGTCAAATAGCACAGCGAGCGGCTCAGCAGAAAACGGGGCTGGCAGAGTGCGGCCGCGGCTGAGGGGGAGAGTGGCCCCTCGTCTCCCAGCAGGCAGCGCGGCAGCGCCAACAGTCGATGCCCACCTCTGGCCCTTCGCTCGCTGGCGCCTCGTAGCTGTCATCCACGCCGCCACCCTCCTGCACAGCAGCCAAGGGGTGGTGCCACCTCTGAAAGTGGGTGCGTGGCCGTCTGTTCCAGAGCAGATGCTCCCAGGAGCAACCAACCCACCCCTCCACACTTCAGCCCACCTGGTGGCTGCCGGCGCCACCAGCGTGCTCCTGCCGTGGCTCCTCCGCCCCCTCCGCCTGGGGTGCCTCTGCAGCTTCTGCTGCACCTGCTGCCACTGGCCCTGCTGCGCCAGCTGCCGCGCCTGCAGCAGCGGCCGCCGCCTGTGCCGCTGCCGCGCTCTCCAGGCTGCTTGGCTGGGTGGTTGGCAGGCTCGCCGCTGTGGCCTGGCTGCCGTCGCCGGCGTCAGCCGCTGCGGCCGCCGCCTTGCCGGGGCTGCTGCCGGCCTGGGAGGCGGGGGTGCCTGGCTGCAGGTCCTGCCGCTGCTGCTGCTGCTGCTGATCAGCCGCAGACACGGCTTCCATGGGGCCGGGGGCTGCCGCAGGGATGGCGGCGGCCTCTGGCAGGCTGCCGCGGGTGCCCTGGTGTCTGCTGCCGACCCGCTGGACCTTTGCCGCGCGGTTGTTGGGTGAGACGGGCACCGCCACCTCGTCTGCGCCCCTGCTGTGGCGCCGCTTTCTGCCGCCAGGCGACTTGAGCTGGCGGTGGCGCGTGCCGCGCAGCATGCTGCCAAGCCTGTCCACCACCGCCCGCACGATGCCGCGGCGGCCTGCTGCTTCCGCGGGAGGCGCATCGGGGTCCTGCGGGACAGGAGGTGGTATGGCGGATCATTGGTGGTCGGTGCGGCAGCATGCGCGGGCGCAGAGCGGGCCTGAGGGAGCGGCGCGGCAGCAAGCCAAAGGCGCATGCCAGCTGTGCCTCATCAGCTGTCCCCGCCTACCTCGAACTTTATCCCCGCCCTTACGAGGAAGTCGATGGCGGCCTCCTTGGGGTGCGGCGCGCCGGCGTAGCGGCAGCGAAACAACTCCCATTTTATTTCAGCGGCCGCGTCCAGGCCGCTCGGCACCCACATCTTCACAGCATGAATCATTCAAGCAAAGCATGCCCCTCATCCTCGCCACACTAATGCAGCGGGAACAGAGCACAAGCAGCTTGGCACTGTTGTCACCTGGGCCGCCGGCGCCGCTGCCGCAGCGTCGGGAGGTGGCGCCGCTGCCTGGTCCTGCGGCCCCTCCATGCTCCTGCACACAGCGCTGGAGCTTGTCGGGATGGCATTGCAGCGGTCCGAGCGAGGGAGAAGCGGGAGTTGGGAGCTCCGCTTGCCGCAGTGGCGCGGACTCCCCGCCTCCAAGGTGGTCTCAACGTTGTGAAACAGCAGCCAGTGGCAGCTGAGCTGCTCCGCGACGCCTCACCCACAGCGAAGTCGCAACCGCCCCACTAGTGCTCTGCACGGCCTTTCAGCTGCTGATAAAGGTAAAGGTAAAGGTAAAGGTGGGGAAGAGCCTCCACAGGCTTAACTTCCCGGTTTTAACGTCTAGCTTTAGACCATTATTTGATCTGCCCGACGCGCCAAGTGCAGTACCCCCCACTAGTAGTGAATGGGTCCCGGGGAGGCCTGTGCCGAAGCCTTGGCGATTCTATTAGGCGTTCCCGAAGGAATTGGCTTGGATTGGCGCTGAGCCGGTCAGCTATGCCGCGTTTGTCCTCACAAAGTTTCGACATGGGAGGAATCGAACCTGTGCCCTCTCGGAGGCTGAGACCGGAGAGAACTCAATCACCTCACACTTCGAAGACCGCTGGACCTGGAGCAGCGGTCATTCGAGAGGCTGTCATAGTGGAAAGTTGGCGGCGCCCGGCGTGCCCAGCGGGTGGTCGCGTCACTCAGGACCAGCGACGGGACGTAACTTGTCCGTCAGAACGTCATGTTTACACTATTACAATATAAGCGTGAGGATGAATCCCAGCGGCAAACAAAATGTGCGTCACGATCATGGCGCAACGTGTTCTCATTGCGAACCGTACTGCTGCACGACGGCACGTGCCACACTCTCTACGTGCATGACCTCGCGTTTGAAGTCCCGCAGCTCCCGCACTGCAGACATCGCCACCAGCAGGTCAGCAAAGCAGTCGGTCTCCTGCGGCGCAAACGGCTGCTGAATTGCCGCGGCCGTACAACACACCTTCAGTGTGCCAGTACAGAGCGTTGCACACTGCGATAGCGAGCAGGGAGACTGCAATCAGCACCATTTTGAGCATAGGGCGCCAGCAGGGGCTGGCCAGATCCATCCAGTCGCGCAGCATCTGCGCAAGGCCAGCCAGCACCCAAAGGAGCTGGGAAGGTGTGGCACGGCACGCTGTGGTCAACACAGCGCAAGCCTGCCACCCAGGAGATGAGCGGGCACGTGCAAGGCAAGCACACAGAAGAGCCAACGCCGCGGGCAAATCCTGCGCACCTCCTGCCATATCACGGTCGCGCAGGTATTGGGCGCCTGCGGTGAGACGGGAGCAGCGCTCGCCAGCACCTCCGCCTGCAGGCAGCAGCACAGCAGTATCAGGCACGCTTCCCGTCTTGCCAGCTGGGCACTTTACGGTGGCAGCCCTACCAGCCGGCGGCAGTAGCAGGTGGCAACGCTTCCAGCCTGGCCTGCAGGCAGCGCCAGCCAGCTCCGCCTCGCAGGCACGCTTCTCCCCAGCAGCATCCGCCAGGCGTTGGCTGCACTCCTGCACTCACTCCTGACCCGCACGCACCAGGGTGGCCTCCAGAGCGGCCAGCTTCTTCATGTGCTCATCCTCGGCAGCCGCTTGCTCTGCCGCCACGCGCTGGCAGGTGGCCAGCGACTCCTGCAGCTGCGCCTGCGCGGTCACGTTCTCCGGCTGGCAGCTGGCCGGCTGCAGGGCCTGCGACTCGGACTTCATCCAGTGCACCGTCTTGTTCAGATGCATCAGATGCATATGCGCAATCTCATGGTGCTGGCGGACGACTGCAAAGCACATGGGTCGGGGGTTGCGGTTCATACGCGGCGGCCAGCTGCTCAAGCGGCGGCTGCCACCCCAGGCTGCGGCTGCTGCTTCGCCACGCCTGTCCAGATTTGCTGTTGCCGGACTCACTTGTGGGCCCACCCACGAAGACGCACGCCAGAAGGGCCAGCCCCTGCACGAGGGCGAGCGAAAGAACGACAACCAGCCAGCCAAGGCTCTTCATGCTGCCTCTCACAGCAACAGACGCAAGTCAAACAGAGGAAGCTTGGCCCCAGGCCCCGACACTCGCCATCCGTACTGCTGGCAGGACAAGCCCTTCATTTCGCATCAGAACACATGATTAAAGCTTAGAAGAACATGTACATCACGTTTGAGTAAACGGCCTATTAATGTATTGCCAGGAAGCCGCCGCCGCCGCCGCCGCCGCCGCCGCCGCCCTAACTGCCGCCCACTGGCAGCGCTCCGAAAGAAGATAGCATTGCTGCCATTGTTGGAGCGCCCCCCAGTGGTCCGCGCCCTCCATCAGGCATAACCAGCTCTGCACCACCTGACGGAGCGCTGCGCGATGCAGCCGCTGCCTGATAAGCTACGTAGCCGTGTTTGCCCTTCCCCCCTGAAGGCTTGGCGCTCTCACTGCCAACCATCAGGGTACTGGCGTAACAGATCCTTCAGGTCCTCTATCTCCTCCAGCTTCCGCGCTGCAGCACATGGAGCAGCAAATATAGCTTTAAATGGCCTGGCTTCAAGAGGACACAGGACACACTGTGCGCATGCACCCTGCAGGCTACCCTGCCCACCTCCGCGGCGCCAGCACAAGGCCTTGCACCCAGCGCAGGCCAGCAGGAAGACTGCTATCAGCGCCACGCCAACCACAGGGCGCCAGCAGGGTGTAGGAAGTCCCATCCAGTCTCCCAGCATCTGAGCAGAGCCAGCAGCAGCCGGGGATGGTCAAAAGAAGGACACAGTCTCGGCGGGGTCAGCGGCGGCAGCCCCGCCAGGCATACGCCGCCGCCACTTGCCCCTGCCGCTGCACCCCGCCCCAGCCAGTCACCTGCGCGATGGTGCCACCGCTTGCGCCGGCGGCGGTTCCCTGAACGCAGCAGAGCAGGGGGAGCAGGGATGGTGTGGCGCAGCATGCTGTGGTCAGCCCACAGCAGGACCATCAGCAGGGAAGGTGAGCGGGCACCTGCTGGGCAGGCAGGCAGGCAGGCAGGGCCGGCTGGCACCACACCTCCCGCCGCTGCCTGCCCCGGCGCTGCTGCGCACCTCCTGCCATATGCCGGCCGTGCAGGTGTCGGGTGTCGGGGGTGCCACCTGGTCAGTGCTCGCCCGCACCTCCGCCTGCAGGCAGCAGCGGCAGTAGTAGGCGCAAGCGGCCACCCTCAGCGGCGGTTCCATCACAAGCAGAAGATGTTGCCGGCAGAGGCACGCCTGCAAGTGGCGGCGGCAAGTAGCAGTGCGCCCATTCCATCCAGAGGAAAGCTCACCAGCTCCTCCCTGCAGGCATAGTTCTCCGCGGCAGCGACCGTGAGGCTCCTGGCGCTCGCCTCCAGCTGGTGCTGGCATTCCGTGGCGCGCGCATCAGCTGCGCCCAGCTGGCGTTCCAGCTGGCGCGTCTCGTCCTTGCAGTCGGCGACCCGCCTCTCCGCCGCCTGGCTGTCGTGCACTCGCCTGGCCTCGCAAGTGGCCAGCTTCTTCATAGCCTCATCCTGCGCCTGCTTGCAGGCTGCCAGCGCCGCTGTCGCTGCCGGCAGCAGCGAGTCTGCGGGGCTGTTCTCCGGCCGGGAGCTGGCATAATGCAGCTTTGCTGCCTGCAGCTCTGCTGTCAGCTGCAGCACCGTATCATTCAAATTGGTGTTTTCCCCTCGCAGGCGGCGTACTGCAAGAGCACAGATTTGAATTTTGGGCGGTGGACGGCCGCCCTGCCCGACACTCCGCTGTTTGACCGGCGCGGCTGCCCCAGCCTGGTGCTCGTTGGCCCCGACTGCAGATCGCCCCAGAACCTCAACCACTCACCAGAGGAATTGAGCGCGTGCTTCTCCCACAACAAGTCCGCAAAGAGCGCAGCGAACACAAACAAGTGGGCAAGCAGCACAAATCTGCCCATCCTGCCTCGCCACTACTTGTATGGACGGAGCTGGGGTGAAAGGCAGCAGTTCTCAGGGTTCTGCTGGTTCTGTAGTGCCGATGTACTGCATACACGAGCTGAAGTGTTGCTTTGAGCCATTTACACACGCACAAGCTATAAGTTTGAACCATCTCTGTGGAGCGAAGGGCTGTCCACCCGCCGCCTGGCGGCGACCGTCGCCCAACCAACTCCTCGAGCGCTGCAGATGCCCCCTGGCACTGCGCTTCATTTTGAGTATGCCACTGCTCAGCAAATCGCAGCCGCTGGCACAGAGGCTGGGCCAGCACCTGCTGTCCGCAGCACCCACAGTCATGCTCAACAAGTCGGCCAAATGCTGCCGGCCACGCCAGGGAGGCCTTCTGCTTCAGCCCATGCTGTAAACTGCGTAAACGACTTTGCCGGCCACTAGCATGAAGATGAGAACCTGCACGAGCAACGCTAACGTTAGGCAGGCGGCACCACAGGCGCCTCAAGACAGTGCCAGCAGGGATGGCGAGCTGGCGCGATCACCTGCAGGAACCTCAGCAACAACTTCTCAGCCGCCTCCTGCTTGCGCCCTGCCGCCGCCGCCTGGCCCTCTGCCGCCGCGCGCCCGCTCAGCGCTGCAGTCGCCCGCCTCTTGAATGTCTCTTGCAGGCGCTTAGCCGCCGCCGCCTTGGCCTGCGCCGCATCCCACATCAGGAGTGCGGCGCCCGCCTTTGCCTGAGCAGCATCGCGCAGGCGCTCCGCCGTCGCCGCCCTCGCCTCGGCCGCCTCCCGCAGGCGCAGCTGCTCCCCTGCCTCCGCCTCCGCCGCTGCACGCCCGCGGTCGGCGCCCTGCGCCGCTTCCTCGAGCAGCAGGCTCTGCGCCTGCTGGGCCGCCGCAAAGCGCCGCGCATTGGCCGCCGCCGCCTCTGCCCGCTCGCAGCGGACGCTCTCCTGGGCCACCTGCGCCTCCATCGCCTCCCGCTCCTGCTCCAGCTCCAGCCGCCTGCCCTCCACCTCCTGCACGCACTGCCGTGCGCGCGCCAGCTCCACCTGCACCTGCTGCACCCGCGCCGCCGCCAGCGCAAGCTCATCGCCCTCGGTCTGCACCTGGGCCTCCGCCGTCGCGACCAGCTCCGCCGCCGCCCTCAGCTGCTGCATCGCCGCCAGCTCTTGCTGCAGGGGAGGGCAGAGGGCGGGTCGGGTGAGACCCCCCTCAAGCGCAGGGTGGCGGCAGGTGCAGAGTCGGCGCATGGTCAGCGGCGGGGCATGCCCTCGCCTGCATGGGCACCAAAAAACCCTGGGCTGTGCACCGACACACACGCCCCACCCACCTGCACAGCATGCAGCTGGGTGGCGCGCGCCTGCTCCGCCTCCTGCTGAGCCTGCGCCTCATCCTGCAGCTCCTGAAGCTGGTGCTGCAGCAGCGCCAGCTGCTCCGCCTGCG